CCCACGCTGGGCGGGTGTCCCTCCATGCTAAGCGGTGTCCTCCACACTGGGCAGGTGTCCCCCCACGCTGGGCAGGTGTCCCCCCACGCTGGGCGGGTGTCCCCCCACACTGGGCAGGTGTCCTCCTCCCTGGCTGGCTGGGTGCTTTCCTCCTGTGCTGGGGGTGCCTCTCCTCTTATCACCTGGTTCCCCACCGTGTATTCCTGAGGAGAAGGCAGGAGATGGGGAGCTCTGCACACATGTGGGGAAGCCCCATCCCAGCCTGGCACACCTGGCCCCCACTGAGCCACGCCTCCGGCCATGGCACCCGCAGCTCACAGGCTGTGGTGGACACACAAAGCCTCTAAATGTGGCAAACATGGCAAGTGCCTTCAAGGAGCTCAACTTATTGAATGAAGGACTGGCCTTTATTCCGAGGCTAAGTCTTTCCTGCGATTTTAGTGGTAAAATATTATTTTCCTTTCATGAAACATTTGAGCTAGATGTGTACTTTAAAGTCTTCCCTTGGTAAAACTAGAAGTTGGCAACACTATATTGGTTCCCCTGTATTTTTAAAAACCAACGCTGTCCCTGAAATCCAAAAAAGAGCGTACAGCAGGGGTCGCCAAACCCAGCTCAGCACCTGCTTCTGTGAATGGTGTGATGGGAACACAGCCGTGCCCATTGCTGGACGCGTCCTCTCAGGCTGTTTCTGTGCAGCATTGAGGAGTTGGGACAGAGAATGTGTGACTGCAAAGCCTGACATACGTACTGCCTGGTCCTTTACAGAAAGTGTCTGCTGGACCCTGGAGGAGAGTGTGGCTGCTTTCAGTCTGGCTCTAGCAGAGCTCACTGGACCCAGCCAAGTTCCTCCTCGTGGGACTCAGTTTCCCCATCTGTCAGAAAAGGAGGTGGCCACAGTCAGGGTTCCAAATGTCTGTTTCCAGCCATCGTCTGACTTCCCATTCCATACATCCCACCTGGCCCCTCCTCCATGCTGAGCCCTCTCTCCTCCACGTCCTGGTCCCCAAGCCTCCAAGGGGTCTTGGTGCTCCTCCACACATGAGATCACACAGCAGCGGGCCCCTCCTGCCGAGGGGTTGGCAGGGGAGGACCTCCTGCCTGGCCTTCCGGAACTGGAGAGTCCCTCAGGACAGATCAGCTGGAAATGCCATCCCGCATTCCATCCCGAGTGGGGAGAGCTTGGCCCCAGTGAGCAGGGGGTTCACGTGATATCGTGAGGTTATCTGAGCCCCGTGGAGGTGGAGGAGAGGGGCATCTGTGGTGGGAGGTTCTCAGCCATTCTGATAAAGTGATTTCTCAGTGACGCGATGGACCAGAGCAGGCGCTCAAAGGGAGCACGCGGGTCTCTGCCTCACAGCGGATCAGTAATCCTGAGGTGATGGGAGTCCTGGGCTGACTCGCTGTCCCTCCACCTCCCCCAGCCAGTAGGGCCGAGTGGAGAAGAGCTCCACGCCCAGATCCTGGACCCCAGCCCTGCTCCACCACTGTCCGACGTGTGATTGACCCGAGTTCCTGCACATTGGCAACAGACCGCCTGTGAGATTTCTCTGAGATGTGACAAACCCATTCACAAGAGGCCCTCGGGCCAGCTGGGCGCAGGGTGGGGGCCCAGGAGTGGCGGTGAGGAGCTGGGGCAGGGTGAGGAAGAGACCAAGGCAGTCAGAAGGGCTCCACATCCGCATCCAGCCCGAGAGACCATCATTCTCATAAACCAGGCCGGCCGTGCTGCTTTCAGTGAGTACAACAGACGGCGCCTGGTCCCTTCTTCCCTCACTGGTCAGGGCTTTGCTTATTTCCCTCCACCTTCTCCATGTCCCTACCATCATCCTGCCACCCCCACCATCACAGCTGCAGGGCCCCTTTCTGTGCCAGGCACATGGATCCTCACAGGTTTCACAGACGAAAACGCCAGGGGCCGCGGGTGGAGGGAACAGTGAGTGCTTCGGGAAGCTGGAGTGGTTTCTCCCTTTGACTTTCTGAACCAGATGAGCCAAATGCAGTCACGACCAACCCCATGACTTTCCCAGCGCTGCCCTGTCGTAGAGATGGGTGGTTTCAAATAGTGCCTGATGCGCCAACGTTGGCCTCACCTGCTCGGGGATGACTGGCTTGACGAAGGCTGAACATCAGTAACGCTGCCCTGGTCAGACCCACCGTCCGCTTTGCAAATGAAATTCTGCAGGCGTTTGTTCGGATGTTTTCATAAGCAGCTTTAAAACCCTCACAAGGCAAAGTTATTTTTGTTTATACAAGTCATATTCCTTAGATGTACCAGTATATTTATTCTTTATATAAACATTATGTATATGTATATTTATGGGAGCTATATGCATGTGTGTGTGTGTGTGTGTGTGTGTACCTATGAGAGAGAGAGACAGAGACAGAGACAGAGCTCCTCATATCTTTCTGCATTTCCGAGGTGCCCTCTAGAATCATTTTCCTTCCACCTGAAAACAACCTTAGTATTTCCTCTAGTGTGGGTCTCCAGGTGGTAATTTTTTTGTTTTATCATTTATCACATTTAGTGTCTATTTTTCACTTTTATTTTTGAAAGTTTTTTTCACTGAGTAATGAACTGCAGGTTCCTCATGAGTTCCTCGTGTTCCATTGTTTTCCAACTTCCATCGGTCCTATTGAGAAGTCAGCTTGAAGTCTCCTCATTGCCACATTGAAAGTTTTGTGCTCTTTTAAAAAGGAGGCTGTGTGTGATGTTATCCCTCTCCATGAGTGATTTATTTCTGCTGCTAGTAGGGGACACTGACAACCACAGAGAACCTCAGCCTGAGCAGTTAGCTCTGTGCGTGTGTTAGGACTGTTTCTTCCCAGTTCACCCTCGCTCCTAGGGTGCTGCACTTCCAGGTTTCCCTCTTAGGAAAATGCAGAGGAAAGCCAGCACAGAGGCCCGGGGCTGTCTCTTTAGAGGGGAGCATGGTTGGGACCAGGCTTGTTGTGCTCTAAAGTGGTGGGGACATCGTGATGGGGGCAAGGATCATCAGGGTGGGGTCCCCCGTTCCAGAGGCTGACGGTCACCAGGCCGTGGCCCCTCCCACCCATTTGCTCACCACATAAATGCATCTATTTTATTGAGCTATAATTCACGTGCCATACTCTTTAACCTGCTCCTGCCTCTGCTTGCTCTTCTGTGTTTTCATGAAACGTGTCTGCTTTGGGAATTTTGCATTCAGTAGAAGCTGAAAGCTGAAGCAAACTCCTAGTCCAGCACACCCAAGGTTCCCCTGCATCCCAGCTGGCTTGTCCTCCTGGGTGGAAGGCCAGAGTGCGGGTCTTCTCTGCAGGGCTGCAGAGGGAGGGCGAGGTGGGGGAGGGGTGGAGGGGGGACACTCCCTGCCTGCTCTGGGGTCCTGGAAATAAGTAGTAGCTTCGGGCTCCTCGCAGACCCTGCCTCCTGAGCGTGAGGCTGCCCTGCACCCTGGGCTTCTGGCACAGTCTGGCAAATGTCCGGCAGGGCATCTGTGTGCCAGGTCACAGGGACAGCACGGACCCAGCCCCACCCTTGTGGCTGTAATGCCACAGAGGACACAGACATTAAGCAGACACACAGCTGTTTCGATGCAGGTGAGACAAGGATGCACAGGGCCCCATGACTCAGTCCAGAGGGCCAGGAAGGGGTTTTGGGGATGAGGAGGAGTCGGCCAGGTGGAGGAGAGGGAAGAACGTTCCAGATGCAGAACAGATTGTGCAAGATCCCAGGGCTGGTGTAGTGAGAGTCCTTCATCTCATGCACACAGGAATGAGCACCTCGGGTCTCTCTAAGGGCCCCCCATATGACCAGCAGCCCCATCAGCCGGGGGAGGCACTGTGCGGGCAGAGGCTGCACCATCCCCAGGGCCCAGCAAGGCGCCAGCAGCCCGCCTCTGTGCATGAACACTGCAGGGCCAGGCACTCGAGCTTTCAGGGTTCTGGGGCATCTCAGGCAGCCACTAGGATGAGCTGAGCACACGTGTGCAGAGCCGGGGCAGGAACACCGGAGAGTAGTGGGCAGAGTCCAGCCCCAGGACTTCCAGGTGGGAGAGCCCGCCATGCCAGCATCAGGAGACAGCAGTTAGGAGCTCGCAGAGAGGGGCCTCCACTGGGCACAGTGCTAGCTCAGAGTTGGTGCTCATTAGGCAGTGACTAAAGCCCCCACCCACCACTGCTCCCAGCAGAACTTGGTCCTCAGACCTGGGGATGCCCTGAGGCCACAGGGTGGGGTGTGCTGATGCAGTCCCTCCCCAGGGCCGGAAAGGCTGCTCGGCCAAGGGGAAGCCAAATGCCATTCTCAGGAAGTGGGGAACGTACCAGTGTGCACTGTAGACCTCAACCCCAGTGTGTCCATGGGGAAACTGAGGCACCAAGCTGAGAGAGCGCGTGGGCAGCTCACTGAGCCCCTCTGAAATGCCAGCGACCCCCAGTCCCACGGCACCCCCAGATGTGCTCCATCTGACTGAGTCCCATAGGCACAGCCTCCCTGCTAAGCGGTCCCTTTTAGGTTTGTTTTCCACTGTGTCCTCTGCAGTGTTTATTATACAGCTTCTATGTATCCAGACCTATACCAGGCCCTGCTTCAGTGCCTCTGAGTCCCTCCTTTAAGCCCAACCAGGCTGGGTTCTATGTGGGAGTGGAGGCAACTTGGAGGCACTGTCGGGACCTCAGGCCACCCGGCTCCAGGCCTGGTCTGCTGCCCCATGCTCTGGAGGCTTAGAGAAGTTCTTCCTCCTCTGAGGCCTGGTCTTTCCCCAGCTGAAAAAGGAAGAGGTCAGAGCAGATGACCTCAAAGGAACCTCAAGCTCTAGAAGAAATCCTTCCATGATTCTATAAAGTGGGGGCAGAGTCGGCAGGTGCACTGACACCACCTCTGAGGACACCAAGAGGAAGAGGGTTCCACTATGCCAGACTCACGGAGAGCTCTGTGGTCCAGGGGGCTCTGCCCAGGTGTGTGCGGGGGCAGCAGCCTGTGGGGCAGGCTGTCCCCATCTGAGCTGCTGTCTCTGTTCCAGGAACCTATGTGATGACCGTCACGGCCAACGATGCTGACGACAGCACCACGGCCAACGGGATGGTGCGGTACCGGATTGTGACCCAGACCCCGCAGAGCCCGTCCCAGAATATGTTCACCATCAACAGCGAGACTGGAGACATCGTCACAGTGGCGGCTGGCCTGGACCGAGAGGTGAGGCGGGGCGGGGTCTGTGTGCAGGCGGGTGAGCTCCTGGTCCCCGCAGGACGCCCACAGGACCCTCGGGGAGCCTCTCTCATGGCACAGTCGGGGAATGATCAGAAACCTCCCCAGTGTCACTCTCTTGCCATGGGACAGATTCAGCAAAGGAGGCTCTGGAGCACTCACCACTGGCTGCTATGGGCGAGGCCTTGTGAGAGTTCTAGAACAGGCCCTGCTGGTGTGTGTGGCTATGGGTGGAGGCCTCAGAAAAGCAGGGACCACCCGCTGGGGTCTCGGGGTCTAGTCACAGCGGCACTCGGGCTCTGGGGTGCTCTGACGGCCCCTCTCAGGACCTGAACACACATGCCTGCCTTGAAACCCACCCCTTCTGGACGTGGCGCCTTTGAGGAGGCCCACCCCACCTAGGCTGCGGCGGCCTGGCTGTGACGAAGGGGGCATGGAAGAGCAGGGCTTTTCACACAGCCGGAAACCATCACAGCCAAATATATGGGCTGCTGGTTGGTGCCGGGTTCCATGCACCCCCACCTCCTGCACTGTCCTGCGGCCCCACGAGGCTTTTGTGACAGAGGCCTTCCTCCCCTTCTTCATCTCCAGTGCACGCCCCACTCAGAGACAGACCCCAGAGGGACGCCCTGGGCGGTGGGTGAGGTCGGGGCCTGCTTCTGCTCTGAAGCCTGCCAAGTGCAGGTGCATCTCCAGCGCTGGGCCGTGTGTCCCTGGAAGATTCACCACCAGCTCCTGGGGCTGAAAGCGCCCCCCCAGTAGCCCCTTGAGTCCCCAGGCGCCCAGGACAGGGCATCGCCTGCCTTCCCCATCTCCAGGTCTCACTGTCTGGTCTCCTGTTTGCACTGTGCCCACAGAGTCAGCGTCATTCCAGACGCAGTTTACCCTCTAAGGCATTTGGCTCCCAGGAGCCAGTGGAGCCATCTCGCTGGGCTCAGAGCCAGCAGGTCCTGCCCGCGGGAGGCTCGTTTCCAGAGGCCACAGCGCCACTTGCTGGCAGCTCCTCAGTCTTGCTGGCCTCAACTCTCCCACTCCGAGTCAGCGGCTTCTGAGTTGCGTCACGGCCCTCGAGTTCTGGGTGTGCGGGGACCCCACTGCAAGCTGGGGCTGCCAGCTGGTCACTGGGGCTTGCTGGTGTCGCTTTTAGGACTGGGGCTGGCAAGGAAGTGGCAGGTTCTTCTTCCTGGTTTGGGGCTGTGGGCCTCCAGTTTCTGCCTCAGCTCCAAAAACCAGGACTCACCTGCGGTGCCGTCTTCATCCCCGCCTTTCAGATCAACCAAAGCCAAGCTGCAGCCTGGAAAATGCCACCCGTCCCCGTCCCCGTCCGTGGGAAGAGCACAAAGGGGTTTTCCTGGAAATTCCTAAATCATAAGGGGTGGTACTCAGGATAGCACACGGGGGCAGAGAGGCCACTCGGGAGGTAACTCTCGGCAGTGTGTGGCTTGTGGGGGAGGCGAGGCGGCCCCGGGGTGGGCAGGGGCTCGGGACTCGGACCTGCACAGCAGGGGACATTGTCAACCTCAGCCGTGGCGCCTTTCGTCTGAGAGATGGGAGGGTGATGATGGCCTCGGACTCCAGGGATCGAGATGGAGTCGCGTGGCAGGCAGCGTGAGGGCTGGCATGGATGGCACAGGCGGGGACTTCTGATGCAGGATTTACATAAACGTTCTTAGAGTGATGTTGGCCAGAATGCCCGGGGCTCCAAGTGAGCTGCAGTCAGTCCCAGCACCTTCACCCCAGGACTGCAGGATCTGCTGAGGCCCTGCCGCCCTCCAGTGGCCAGGAACGAGCGCCCGCTGTGCTCAGACAAGGCTCTGCAGACGAGCTGCGCCTGGCCCTGGTCCTGTCACTCAGCTAGGAAGATGATCCGTGGGCCCATGACCGAGTCAGGAGTGCTGTTAGTGAGGCCCACACAGATGTGGAAGAACCAGATACCGTCCCCCATCTCCTCTGTAGCCTGGGGTCCCCGCCTGCCCTGGTGAGAGAGGGCACCCCCCCATCTGCCCCTCCCACACACACACCTGTGCGCGGCTGGTTTCCACAGGCGGGCGCCTCTCCAGCGTGTTTGCACAGCTTTTGGCAGAGCAGGTGGTCTGACCGGAGCAGGTGCGTGCAAGCCTCTGCCCACACACTCCTGCACACGTGATGCTCCAGAGGTACAGATGGGATGGCACGGCTGCCGGCTGTGTCCAAGGAGAGGACAGGACAGCCGAGCAAGGGTCAGGCCCGTGGGCGCCAGCACCTCTGAGATGGCCCCTTGCAGGGGCAGGGGCAGGGGTTACCTAGAGCCCACAGGCTGCCCCATCTGCGAGCCGGCAGCTGCTGGTCTGTGACGGGGAAAGCATGGGGCAGAAAGGGCAGTGGCGACACTCAGGGAGATCTGATGGGGCCTCACCCTCCAGTCCCAGTGCAGGAGCAGCTGGCTGCATGCTGGCCCCAGGAAACTGTTCTCTCCCTACTCTATATTGGCCGCGAAGGAGCAACGGCCAATTGGAGAGGCAGCTGGTTCTATTGAGCAACCGGAGAACCGGGAAGGGGGAGGTGTTCACAGGGCTGGGTGCCTGCAGGGGAGGCATGCAGGGGTGCGGAGGGTACCAGACGCGCAGACGCTGTCCATGAACACACCTCTTCACACATCACGTGTACAACATGGCAGCAGTCTTCCCTTAGGGCAGGGGTTTTCTTACTATAATGATAAGCTGAGGATCTAAAGGGGACCATAGGCTGCCTGCTCTGGCCTGTACTGGTTTCGTGTCAGTCCGTACTCCCTCTGGTTTCCGACGGGGTCGAGGGGCTCCCGGTGGCTTTGGGACCATCTGGTCTCCTTCAGCACAGATGTCTATAGATAAAGGGACTAAACAGCTAAAGCTTTCTCACTGCAGGGTAGAGGGCTGAGAGGGCTGGGGGACTTTGTAGTTTATATTGTAGGAAAGAATATCTAGTATTTTCCAGGCTGAAAATACATATAGGCAACATCCGTGGACCCCTCTTCATAGCTGAAAATCTTGCAAGGCCCCGGCAGTCAGTGTGGGTGCAGCTCTGACCCTGGGAGGGATCAAGAGCGCCATGGAGCCCACGACACCCTGGGGTTCCCCAGCTGTCCCACGGGAGGGACACCCCTTGGCCTCCCTGGGCCGGGCATTCCTGTGGGCATGTCAAGGCCCATGATAGGGATGGTGTCCAGCCTCCTGGGCTTAGCTCCCCCTGCCCCTACAGATCATGGCAGCTCGGCCAAGGGAGGGCCAGCAGCCCCAGCCACCCAGAGACCTCCCCACCCACTGACCAGGCCCCAGTGAGGCCGACCCGGCAGCTGGACCCCCTGCCCAGGCCGGACACCGAGGCGAGGCGGAGCCAGCCTGCTCCCCAAGGCCCACAGCAAACACCCGCCCCCTGCCGCCCCTGTCGGCAGCTTCAGCGTGACCTGCAAAATGTTCCAAATAAAATGCTCATTTAAAAGCCATTAGAGGTGTGGTTGACAGATGGAGATTTATGAAGATTGAGGGACATGAGGAGACGCTGGTGTTGCGGGTGCTGGCGTTCTCCGTTGTGTGTGCCTGGGGATGTGAACAGCCTGGCTTCTATCCAACGGGAGGCCCCGTCTCGTGCGTCTCAGGCGTGGTGTGCTGGAGAGGGCGGTCCCATGTCTGCTTCCTCCAGGGCTTGTCAGGAACGTGGGTGGTGTGGTTATTTTCCTTGATGATCCTTCAGCCGCTAACATTCGATTCTGGGAAGATCCATTTCTGTCTCCTGTTTCTGTCTCGTGCATGTGAAACAAGCTGGTTGATGCAGTGCAGCCTGGGACCCCCATGTGGACGGGCATCGCGGGGGGACAGCAGAGCCATGGTCCAGGGGCTCAGGGGACGGTTGTGGGGCTGGACTTTGGGGCCATGTCCCCTGGAACATCCCGGGGTACACTGTTTGACAACACGTCTTTGGCTGGAAGGACCCCTGGCCTTCCTCGCACCCCCAGGCAGGGGATGGGGTGTAACCCAAAAGAGGCCTGGCCCCAAGCAGACCATGATAGGGTCATCACCAGGAGCCAGCCAGGCATGGGGGCCCCAGAGGGAGGCCTGCGTGGACACAGATGGGCATGGTCACTCCAGAGAGGACAACAGACCCTGGCCTGCATGAGCAGCCGGGAGCTGAGCTGCAGGCCTGAGGCAGCTGGGGCAAGGCTAAGGCCCCATCGTGGTCGTGACGTCCTCATTCCCAGCCACGATCAAAACAAGACCTTCATGAGCAGCATGTGCCTGGCAGCAGGACCCCTCCCACCTTCTGTTCACCCTGCCCCTTTCAAAGCAAGCCCAAGCCTAGGAACATCCAGGTCCCTGAGCTGCTCCCTCCCCAGGTTCAATGCAGCCCCTGGCTGGAGGGTGGCTGTGTGTCTTGAATCTGAGACAGACCCAGGCGTGGCCTGCAGCTGGCTGCATTTGGGTACAGAGACGGTGTTGGGTGCCCTCAGGGCTCCTGGTGAGCAGAACCAAAGGTGTTCATGTCATTTCCACATTATTTTCCTTGTGCAAACGTGTCTCTTTCCCCTTCTAAGGGCACCAGCTCAAGGGCTTCTGTTAGAGAAGCTGCCTCCAGCACACAGCAGCCATGTCCTTAGGCCACCGCCTGGCCCCAAGTCTTCAGCAGCCCCTCCCAGTGGGGACATTGAGGCAGGCTCCCCTTCCCAGACATGGAGAGGTCATCCCCTTGGGCCAGTCTCTGCAGCAGTTTGTGGCATGGTCTCGGGGTCGTGGGTGACCTCTGAATTTGTGACCACTTGGCCAGAGGAGATGCAGGGCCCTGGCACTGGCCACCCCCATCTGCCCACTCAGCCATTCCAGGTCCTGTCTCCCACCTTGCACACAGCCTCTCCCACTTTTTCGCCTTTGCCTCAGGATAGAAGTCCTGGAAGCTGCCAAAGACTTGGCGGGGTGTGCTGAGGCCAGAGCGCCCCTTACCAGGGCTCTGCTTTCTGCGCAGATCTGTGCTTAGTGTTC